AACCGGTCTCGGTCCTAGAAAACGTTAAAATCCATAACCGGCGGTCCACAACCGGTCCATACCGGTCCCGGGCCGGTTCCGGTCCCTCTTCGGTCCCGGTTCCGGTCCTCCGACGGTTACGGGCCGGGCCGGCCCATTTGGTCATCTCTAGCAATCACTAAGGAGCAGCCCACTACTTCACGGCCCAGACAGAATTTTAGCTCTCGAACAGGTGCTATAGGACCTTGCCACTCCTGGTCCTACAAGACTGCCGCAAATTCGGACCCAAAAATCATCAAAAACCTGCATAAACAGGGGATTAACATTAGATATACTATATAACTACTAATATATGAAAAAGATATAAAAAGACTCAATTAACACACTAACTTCAAAACTCTACTTTCTTTGTGGCCCCTTCCAGTTTCTGCTCTTTAATGTGATCTTGGCAAATTACTTCCATTAATTATTAATAACCATTCGAAATCTTGTCTTGAATATGATCTTCACACCTTGGGGTTCCCCTGCGATTCAGCTCCTCTCTGTGCCACTCGCAAGTGCTTCAACATTAACACTAGCATAATATTCGAACACAAGAATCAAAACAACAAAATAAAAGTTTAATGTTTCACCTGAGACACTTCCAAACTGAATAGTAATACAAAATAGCAACGCTTTCTTTCTTCTTGAAAATCGAAAGCGCGCTCAACTACAGCTACAGGCAATTGCTTTATTCCTTTCGCCTCCATCAGCATTTTAGCAATTGCCAAATCCGTATCAGGATAACAAGTTAGAAGTCCACGTTTTCTCCCACGATACCTTATCCCTCGAGTACATACACTAAAAACAGCAAACTCCCTCAACTGCAAAATTATTAAGTTTCAAGATATCGATTGAAAAATAAGGATAAAAACCATTTTAATCAGATATTTAGCATACGTCTGGAGTTGATGAAACACCACCCTCAGAAACTTCATCATAGTTCTTTGACATGGCACATTTAATATCACCATATGTCAAAATCCCTTCTAAATGCTCTTCAGGATCAACAACAAGCACACAAGTTTGTTGTCCATCTTCCATACATTGTACAACCTCTTTAATAGTCGATGATAATTGGACTTTCAGGTAATTGGTTAACATAGCCTGTGAAACCTGATTACACAAGATAGCCCAGTCAATCACTTGCAAAATAAATGATACTGATATCACCAAAGGTAGATAAATGGAACATAAGTGCGAACCTTCAAATCCTCTAGAATAATGTCTTCAATTGCTTCATGGTTATCATCAGGCCCCATGATACAAAGTTCAAAATCATTTGCATCACCGGTTTGTCTCCAATTCTCAAATTTGTCAATTGGTGAAAGTATAGAATAATCTCTTGTAAAACCCCTTGCATCAGATCCCTCAGTCTCCTTCGACTGGTTTGCCACAGATGGTACCCATATTGCTAACCCAACAGCCCCCTGAACACAAAAACATTAGCAATAGTTCCCATGACATTAAAGTCAACATTTATTTGACATGGTCGCAGAAAGAAGAATAAATCAACAACTTTATTCAAGCAAGAATTTACCATAAGGGGAAGCAAGATTTCTATAATCCTTGGTCACTGGTCAACTCAAACAGAAGTAGAACCGAAGTCAATGGGACAGAACAAACTGAAGCCAACGTTGCAGCCATTCCAACCTAGGAGTATAAGATTGACGTCAGAATCACCACCAAAAGATATGATAGTTAAGCATAAGGAAGCAAAGGAATAACATCTACAAGTTGGAATGATCCCGCATCGAAGTAAAAACATTACTAATGCATATGCCTGTGGCTCGGCAATGGCAGCGTTCCCTGGAATTGCTGAGTTAATTAATTCTGCTGTTGAACCTCCAAATACAGCACCAACTGCAGCACCTATCATCAAACTTGGTGCATATAAACCACCAACAAGACCAGATTCCTTGCATAGAGCCATGGCCACAACTTATACGATAGCTAGCTGCGCTAGGAACCCAATTCCTGGTGCTGAAGCAATCTTCCCAGTATGTAAAATTTCATCAACACTGTTGAATCCCCAGTAAAGAACTCCAGGATACTTGAGCGCTATTATTCATGTTCCTAAACCACCTAAAGCTGGAGTGACAACAGCAGGAAGCCCAAACCTTTCTTTGATATATTCAAAAGCCTTGTTGAACCAAGTTACCAAACAGGTAAATAGTACGCTAACCACCCCACATAACATGCCCAGGATAAGATACAGAGGTAATTCTGCAAAAGGTTCACCATACAAGAACTTAGGTAGAAAACCTCGCCAATCAAGCATAGATGCAAATAAAATATATGATGTAAACACCATTAATCTGTATATATGTGTATAAACAAGTACGACATGCAGAGAAGTTTTTGGAAATGATGTTCAAAACTCCAGACGACGCTAGGCATATGCAATCACCTTTACTTTGAGGCAACATTTCCCTTAAATAATATTTCATTGCAATGGAATAGGATCATAATTTTAAAATAAAATAAGGTAATATAGTACAACAGATTTCAAGCCGCATGCTCGTATGTTAAGTGTTAACAACATTTATGGAACTAGAATGAGATAAAATACCGGCAGCAGATTTCAAATCATACGTGGGCACTGTGAACGCCTGCTTCTCTCCGAGTACAACATTTGACACGGTAGAAGAAATAACAGATGCCAATATTATCATTGCAGTTGTAAATGGAGGAGAGTTTTCAGCACGTAGAGGCCTTAATACAGTCTCTATGGCAAAGAAAGAGCCAGCAACTGCTGCATTGAAACCTGAAAGAGACGAGAGGAAATATCATAACTAAAATACATGGGGAATATTGGACAACCTCCTTAGACCTCTTTTGCATGTTATGTTTTCTGTGAAAAAGAGGAGTAACGAGGAAAGGGTGGGCATCAAAATGGCCTGCAAAAATAGACAAGAACCTCTAGGAGAGAGGCGCCAAT